GTCCTTCCCAGCATCCTCTCTGGCACCTACCTTCACCACCAAACCCACAGGTAGGAAAGGCCTCAGGCTCTCATTGATAATGAAATCATTTCTTCCATCGCTGTTCACTCACTCTCTCTGAGGGAGCTTATCCATGTGTGTGGATTTTATCAATCATCTGCCCTCTGGATTTCACTCACTCTCTCTGAGGGAGCTTCTCCATGTGTGTGGATTTTATCAGCCATCTGCCCTCTGGATTCCCAAACCTACACACCGCAGCAGCTCCCTACCCCTTGTCAGTCTACCCCATGGAACATCACTGAGGCTGCTTGGTCTCATCATGTCCACCCTGAAGTCATCATTGTCCCTCAGACTTGCTCCTTACCTCATCATCAAAGGCTAAGGCAAGCATGACAACCTTGGTCCACCCTATTCCTCACCTTCCACACCCATCCCTCTCTGGAGAATTTCCTTTCTCTGCATCCATATCGCCTAAAACTTTACTCAGATGACCAGTGCATCATCTGCTAGGATGAATGCAGTAGCCACCACTCTAGATTTGTCCACCTAATTCTTGTCTTGATTATCTTTGAATGTCTCTACCTGACCTCAAGTCACATCCAACCTCTGTTCTTATTAGTTCCAGCCTCCACTTTCTGGGCATAGAAGAGCCTGCCAGTGCCTTCCTGTGCCCACAATGAAAGGACTTCTGGTTCTTTATATGTCGCTGCTTGGCCCTAACACCAGGCCTTTGCCCAGGCTGTTCATCCTGTCTATCTTACTCTTTCCAGTTGTTAGCTACCAATTACCAAACTCATATCCATTCGTATGTTGCTGTTGTTACGTGCTGTTGAATCAGCTCTGACTCATGGTGCCCCTGTATAGGGTTTCCAAGAAGCAGCTGATGAGTTTGAACTACCAAGCTTGGGGTTATCAGCCCAGTGCTTATCCTACAGCATCATACCAGGATTCCAACCTTACAGTTATACCTAATGGTACTTCCTTTGAGAAGCCTTCCTGATTCCTTGGGTTGGATGTCCCTCATGGACATATCCCTCTTACAGATACCTCTGTAGGGTTATTGTGTGATTATCGCCCTGACCACATGATCACACTACCAGAATCCTGTCTTACATTCCTAGTGCTGCGGGGACAGCAGTAGTTAAGTGGAAGGAGTTCAAGAACTGAAATTTATTTTCTCATAATTAAGGAGGCCGAAGTCCAGATTCAGGGCACTAGCTATAGGGGAAAGCTCTCTATCCTTGCTTCTTTTAGCTTCTTTTCCCCAGCATTCCTCACTTCCTTGGTGATTTTCATGTGAGAATCTAGATTCCCAGTTTCTGCCTGTACTTCTGTGACGAATCTTCTTTTTATAACTCAGAAGTGACTAGGTTTAAAACTCACTCCATACTAATGTTGTTGTTGATCAGTGCCGTCGAGTCTATTCCAACTCATACAGGAAACCCTGTATAGGGTTTCCAAGGAGTGGCTGATGTGTCTAAAGCAGCGACCTTGCGGTTCAAACTGATTTGGCAGTCCAGTGCTTATCCTACAACCCCACATAATTGTTGCTATGTTTGAGCCCATTGTTGCTACTACTGTGTCAGTCCATCTCATTGGGGGTCTTCCTCTCTTTCACTGACCCTCCACTCTGCCAAGCATGATGTTGTTCTCCAGGGACTGGTCCTTCTTGACCACATATGCAAAGTAGAAGAAACAAAGTCTTACCATTCGGGCTTCTAAGAAGTGTTCTGACTGTACTTCTTCCAACACAGATTTGTTTGCTCTTCCTGGTAGTCCATAGTACTTTCAATGTTCTTTCCCAACACCACAATTCAAATGCATCAATTCTTCTATGGTGTGTCTCTTTCTTTTTTTTTTAAATAGTGAACGGAGTGATAGTTTACATTGGAAAACATCGACTTTACACCATTGTTTCACTGCAATGATTACAATCTCCTCCGTGCATTACCATTCAGTATTTATGTCTATTCCCTCTGGTTTTTTGTTTTGTTTTTTGGAATGTACACAAAAACACTCAAGAATAAATAATCATTTAAACAACCAAAGGGCACATTCTGCAAGCCTGCCTCCTAGCTGCCAGTACTTAATCTCTCTCTTTCCTTGAGTTAGAGTCCTCAGCTGCTCCCTCTTTCCATGTCCTCATCTCTGTCTCCATTTCTGGTGTCACTGCTTTTCTGGATAGGGTCCCACATTCCACTCATGCTCTTCTCAGTTGATGGTCCTAGGGTTCTCTGTTCCTGCACTGCAAAATTAACTACTCCCCCATTTTTGTTAGAAAACTTCTACCTTTACAGTTGTGACAGTCGCAATTAGTCATGATAACAATTACTCACTGTTGAATCATAAGAATCTTATTCCCATGTCTTTTCACCAGACCCATCTAGACAAGATAAAAACTATTCAGTGGGGACACTATATGATGTCTTTTAATCATTGTCCAAGTTTTGCAAGTATATGAGTTGATTAACAACACCATGGCTTGGGTTAGGTACACCTTAGTCCATGAAGTGACTTCTTTGCGTAATACATCCTTTGATCTTTTGACTTTTGCTTCCATGAACACTAATTGTGGATCCAAGCAAAATGAAATCTTGGACTTTTCTTCTTTTCTCTGATTATTATGATCTTTTCTATTGATTCAGTTGTAAGGATTTTTGTTTTCTATACATTGAAATACAATCCATACTGAGGGCTGTCATCCATGATCTTCATCAGTATTTCAAGTCTTCTTCATTTCCAGTAAGCAAGGTTGTATCATCTGTATATCACAGGTTGTTAATGAGTCTTCCTCCAATCTTAATGCCACATTCTTCTTCAGATAATTCAGCTTCAAGGATTATTTTCTCAGTGTACACATTGAATAGGTATGGTGAAAGAATACACCATTGTTTTCTCTGGCACACAATTATTTTCTCTGCATACAGTTTGAATGTGTATGATGAAAGGATATGACCCAGGTGCACACTTTTCCTAATTTTAAACTATTCAGTAGCTCCTTATTCTGTTTGAGTAACTGGCTCTTGGTCTGTATACAGTTTCCTCAAGAACACAATTATGTGTTTTGAAATATCCGTTCTTCTCCATGTTATCCATAGTGTGTTATGATCCACACAGGTGAAAGTCTTTACATGGTTATTAACAGAAAAATTATTCTATATCACCTGCCACTGACGTGTGGCATTTTAGTATAAACACTGTAGGACTGCTCATAACAAAGTCAGTCCTGTCTCTGAATATTGGTTCCAGCCAAGTGCCGTGGAGTTGGTTCCAATTTATAGTCAGGGTTTCCACCAGCTGCTCCTTGGAAACCCTTTATATGAATTAGAGCTAACTCCACAGCACTTGGATGGAGCCAATATTTAGAGACAGGACTCAGAGCAAAGAGCAAAGTGTTTATTGAGTATCAATACCCAGAAGAATAGGGGAGTAGAAAATCTTCCAGATCTGTCTCTCCAAAGAAAGGGAAAGGGGAGTTTTTATAGGGATTTCGTGTATGAGGTAGGGCCCTAGGAGGATTCAGGAACTCGGGTTATTCAAGGTCCTGTTGATTGTCCTAGTCAAGCTGGATCTAGCTGGCACCATTTGTCTTTCCAGGTGGTGTTTGTCAGAGACGACTAACTTCTGGAGCCTTGGTTTTTAATTGTGCCTTCGGTGCAGCTTAGATTTTTTCCTTGAATACCATCAGCTCTTGATCACATGATACCTCTTGAAATTACTAAGCAGCAACCAATTATTTGGGGTACAGTGACTCTGGATTCCTTTCATCTTCTTTTGATGCTTCCTGAATCATTCAATAATCTGCCCATAGAACCCTTCACTATTGCACCTCAACTCTTTAATTTTTACTTCAGTTCTTTCTGCTTGAGAAATGCTGAGCATGTTCCTCCCGTTTGATTTACTTGCCCCATTATCATTGTTGTTGTTAAGATCTACTTGACTCATAATGACCCTGTATAGGGTTCCTGAGACTGAATCATTGAGGGAGCAAAAAGTCTCATCATTCTCCAATGGAGTGGCTGATGGGCTTGAACTGCAGGCCTGTGGTTCACCGTTCTGTGCTTATCCTACAGAGCTACCATGGTTGTTGTGCTTAAGTGCTATGGAGTCAGTTCCGACTCCCAGCAACCTTGTACAGGGTTTCCAAGGCTGTAAATCTTTACGGGAGCCTCATCTTTCTCTCGCGGAGCAGCTGGTAGTTTCAAACTGCTGACCTTGCAGTTCACAGCCTGACTCCTAACCACTACGCTACCAGAGCTCCTTACAGAGCTACCATGGTCGCACTCAGTAAGTGCTCTTTGTGTGAGTGAATCAATTATTTCCAACTCTAGTAAATTCTAGAATGTTTGTGCGTTCAGCTCCTGCAGCAGGTGGCTGTACTGAGTCTACTGCTAGTGCTTCTAATCATGTTCCAGGAAACCCTGGCCATTACTACGATCCAAATGGACATCTTCCTCTTCCTCCCCCAAATGCAGCTGCTGAACCTGCCCGGCTCCCCTTCACCCTCAACTTCACCATCACCAACCTGCGCTACACGGATGACATGGGAC